CCCCCCACACCAGTATAAACCAGTAACCCCCCTCACCAGTATAAACCAGTAACCCCCCACACCAGTATAAACCAGTAACCCCACCCCCCACACCAGTATGAACCAGTAACCCCAAACCAGTACAAACCAGTCTCCCCCCAGTCCATCCCAGTTTGGTTCAATCCCCTCCCAGTTTGTCCCAGTTTGGTCCCAGTTCCCTCCCAGTCCATCCCAGTTCCCTCCCAGTCCATCCCAGTTTGGTCCCAGTTTGGTCCCAGTCCATCCCAGTTCCCTCCCAGTCCCTCCCAGTTCCCTCCCAGTCCCTCCCAGTCTCACCCAGTACCACCAGTTCGGCCACGCCCTCGTTGTTGCCCTGCAGGTCGGTGGTGGAGGTGACGGTGCACAGGTACAGCCCGCTGTCACCCCACGCCGCGGGGCCCAGGCTCAGCTCCGCACCTGGACAGGTGTGACAGGGACAGGTGTGACATAGACAGGTGTGACAGGTGTGACACAGGTGTGACAGGTGTGACAGGTGTGACAGGTGTGACAGGACAGGTGTGACAGGTGTGACATAGACAGGTGTGACAGGTGTGACAGGTGTGACACAGGACAGGTGAGACAGGTGACAGATAGGTGTAGCCCAGGTGTGCCCAGCTGCCCCCCCAGGTGTTCCCAGATGTCCCCAGGTGTGCCCAGGTGTCCCCAGGTGTCCCCAGGTGTACCCCAGGTGTCCCAGGTGTCCCCAGGGGTGTTCCCAGATGTCCCCAGATGTCCCCAGGTGCCCCCAGGTGTCCCCAGCTGTCCCCAGGTGTCCCCAGGTGTCCCCAGGTGTGCCCAGGTGTACCCAGGTGTACCCAGGTGTGCCCAGGTGTCCCCAGGTGTCCCCCAGCTCCCCCCAGGTGTCCCCAGGTGTGTCCCCAGGTGTCCCCAGGTGTCCCCAGGTGTGTCCCCAGGTGTACCCAGGTGTCCCCAGGTGTGCTCTCACCTCCCTGGATGGTGACGGCCCTGCCCAGGTAGAAATCTCCCAGTGTCACCTGCTGGCCCTGCTTGGTGGCCACGATGCGCACGGTGCGAGCCCAGTCGGGACAGGCGGCGGCCGCCTCGCCAGGTGAGGCCCCCGAGGCGCCAGGTGAGGCCCCCGAGGCGCCAGGTGAGGCCCCCGAGGCGCCAGGTGAGCTCCAGGTGTCGGGACAGAAGGATTTGTACTTCCAGGTGACGATGGGGGGGGGCCCAGGTGAGCTCACCTGGAATTGGCAGCGCAGCAGAACCGGCTGGAACAGGAGAGCCACGGTGCGGGGTTCGGGGATTGTCACCTGGAGAGACCACACCTGGACAGGTGACACACCTGGACAGGTGACAGACAGGTTAGAGACACCTGGAGAGACCAC